GCAAACACTCAAAAAGATTATTCACACGACCAAGTAGGCTTCATCCAGGTCAGGGGTGTTCAACATACGAAAATCAATAAATGTAATAAACCACATTAACAGAAGCAAAGACAAAACCACTTGATCATCTCAATAGATGCAGAAAAAGCCTTTGATAAGATCCAACATCATTTCATGATAAAAGCTCTAAGAAAACTAGGAATAGAAGGAAAGTTCCTCATTATAAAAGCTATATATGACAAACCTACAGCCAGCATTATTTAACGGAGAAAAACTGAAACCATTCCCTCTAAAATAGGAACAGACAAGGATGCCACTATCTCCACTCCTATTCAACATAGTACTGGAATTCCTAGCCAGAGCAATTAGGCAAGAAGAAGAATAAAAGGAATACAAATAGGTAAAGAAACTGTCAAAATATCCCTATTTGCAGATGACATGATCCTATACCTTAAAGACCAAAAAAACTCTACAGAAGCTTCTAGACATCATCAATAGCTATAGCAAGGTAGCAGGATATAAAATCAACATAGAAAAATCATTAGCATTTCTATACACTAAATGAGCAAACTGAAAAAGAATGTATGAAAACAATTCCATTTACAATAGCCTCAAAAAAATCAAATACCTGGTGTAAAACTAACAAAAGATGTGAAAGACCTCTACAAGGAAAACTATACACTTCTGAAGAAAGAGATTGAGGAAGACTATAGAAAGTGGAGAGATCTCCCATGCTCATGGATTGGTAGAATCAACATAGTAAAAATGTCGATACTCCCAAAAGTAATCTACATGTTTAATGCAATTCCCATCAAAATTCCAATGACATTCATTAAAGAGATTGAAAAATCTGTTAATTTATATGGAAACACAAGAGGCCACGAATAGCCAAGGCAATACTCAGTCAAAAGAACAATGCAGGAGGTATCACAATACCTGACTTCAAAACTATATTACAAAGCAAACAATAAAAACAGCATGGTACTGGCACAAACAGACATGAAGACCAGTGGAACAGAATAGAGGACCCAGATATGAAGCCACACAACTATAACAACTTGTCTTTGACAAAGGAGCTAAAAATATACGATGGAGAAATAGCAGCCTCTTCAACAAAAACTGCTGGAAAACTGGTTAGCAGTCTGCAAAAAACTGAAACTAGATCCATGTATATCACCTATACAAGATTAACTCAAAATGGATCAAGGATCTTAATATCAGACCAAACTCTAAAGTTGATACAGGAAAAGTAGGAAATACTCTGGAGTTAGTAGGTATAGGTAAGAACTTTCTCAATGAAACCCCAGCAGCACAGCAACTAAGAGATAGCATAGATAAATGGGACCTCATAAAGCTAAAAAGCTTCTGTTCATCAAAAGAAATGGTCTCTAAACTGAAGAGAACACCCACAGAGTGGGAGAAAATATTTTGCCACTACACATCAGACAAAGACTGATAAAGAATATATAGGGAACTTAAAAAACTAAATTCTCCCAAAACTAATGAACCAATAAAGAAATGGGCAAGTGAACTAAACAGAACTTTCTCAAAAGAAGAAATTCAAATGGCCAAAAAACACATGAAAAATTGCTCACCATCTCTAGCAATAAAGTATCATAAATTTTTAATGATACAACACACCAGTCAATATTTTGAAGACATATTATACGTTAAATAATTGGGAAACTGTCTGTATTAACAATGAAAGCCAGTTCATATGTCTAAGAGCGTGTATTTACTGTTAGGTTTTTTTTGGTGGTACTGGGATTTAAACTCAGGGCCTTAGGCTAGCTAGGCAGGTACTGTACCATTTGAGCCACTCCACAAGCTCATACTATTACTTTTTGAAAAGTAGATTTCATCTCTTTTTCTGTTTCATGAATTTGCATAATCATTCCTGTTGGGTAATCCTTCCAGTTCGAATACTCATAAATTCTAAATTAATAAGATTTTTATATTATTTATTTTTAACTCATATGAACTCCTATCAGTGATTGGAGCAGCTTTTTACTTTCTCACTAGGTAGATAGTACCTACTGTGATGTGATTATGTTATTACCCATTTTTGGTCTCTCTTAGCTGAGTGAATGACATCAGTTACACCAGAAATATTACCTCTGACTTGTCCCTTACTCCCACATCCATACTACAGACACAAAAATGATCCCCTTATTTTCCTTTTGTGAATCAAAGCATTTTGCAAAGTCCTTTCACTGGTCTGTCTCCAAACTTTCTAGTTTTGTTTTCTTATAGCATAGACTGTGAGCTTTATGTGTATGATATGTATGTGTATTGATACTTCAAAAAAATTTTAAGCTGGGTGTCAGTGACTCATACCTGTAATCCTGTGTACTTGAGAGACTGAAATCGGAAGGGTCCCAGTTCAAGGCCAGTCTGGGCAAAGAGTTTGAGAGTCGTCCAGTCCCGCCCGTCCCCTCCAGATCTCCAGAACAACCAGAGCAAAGTGGACTAGAGGTGTGGCTCAAGCGGTAGAGCATCTGCTTTGCTATCGTGCAGCCCTGAGTTTATTTTTTTCTGGGAAAATTTTTTCATAAACTAGTAGGAAAATCTAGGCCATATAATTGTATGCTAAAAATCAAAATCATACTTAATTTTCAGTTATTCGTGTCATGTTTTCTTGTATTTCTGCAGAAACATGTCAATGCAAATTTGTTAACTAGTAATAATTATTCATGTGTTCAATCATTCATTCAGTGATTATTCATTTGTTATGTGTATATGTTATGTTTGTTATGATTATTCGTTTGTTATAACAAATGTTACCAAATAAGTTACAATAAGCCTAACATGATTTAGGTATTACCCCTTTTGAAGAGTAATTTGTTAAACATGGCTTTTCCCTAATAAGTTCTGTCAAGTAAGTTACACTAAGGCTAACGTGATTTAGGTATTACCCTTTTTGAAGAATAATTTGTTAAACATGGCTTTTCCCTAATAGATTCTGTCATATAAACCTCTGAACTACATGTGTTATTTTTACAAAAATGCTAAGTCTTCTTTCAAATTTAGGCTAGAGGAAGAAGAAAAGTTTTTAAATGCCGAAAGTTACTATAAGAAAGCTTTGGCTTTGGATGAGACATTTAAAGATGCAGAGGATGCATTGCAGAAACTTCATAAATACATGCAGGTGATTCTTTATTTCCTCTTAGAAATATAGTGATATTTAAAATTAATGCCCAAACATTTTCTTCTAGGAGAAACTATTCTAAATTACCTAAATGAAGCATTATGAAATGTTCATTCCTTCATAGTGCCTCTTCTTTTATATTTGTTTTTACTAAAAATAAGAAATTTTCTACTGCCTAAATTAGGTTTGTGATTTTGAGAACTATCCCTTGTAGTGAGCTCACCTGGTAGCTATTTCATTATCAGTGTTGGTACTATAACTGAGCTAATTATAGAAACCTTTTTGAGACATGTTTTTATTTACTTTTTCCTGTAATACTGATGATGATGTTTTCTCATGCATTTTCTTCTGAATTGGACCATTGCTGCTGTGTCTGTGACATCTGGTGCTGCTCATCCCCATCCACAAACTGGAAAATGATTCTTATGTAATCATGCATCCAACTGGGCTGTGCTATTTTTAAAATGGTTTGTATTTGAACATGGTGATTACCCCCTCAATTCATCTTTATGAAATGTCTTTGATTTCCATTTATAAAATTTGTGTCCTATTGAAATTTCTCAATTTTTAAAAATAACATTTCACCTTTCTTGCACTCTGGGTCATTGGTACTACTGCAACGGCTTCCCCTTTTTTCATGGGATACCGACTGCAATATGGTCCTCAATACTGTTCTGGCCATTCCAATGACTGATGCCAAACATCTGTATGACCAATTTTAATTTTGCATTAAAAAATAACTTGTTTAATACTGGATATATGGTGATTTGGTTGTACTAAATTGGATTTCTGGTTGGGGTGGTCTTTTAAATACTGGGTTTTATATTTTCTGCTATTTTTAACGTGTGGTTTTTTCCGATATCTGGGTTCTAAAAGAAATCTTTGGAATTAAGAGAAAAACAAGCTGAAAAGGAAGAAAAGCAGAAAACAAAGAAAATAGAAACAAGTGCAGAAAAGTTGCGTAAGCTCTTAAAAGAGGAAAAAAGGTAAACTATAATATTCAGTATTTTTTAACTTAAAGCAACTACTGAGTTGAACCCAAAGACACCATATGGAGGTAAAGTATGTTTAAAAAAAGAATTTTTTTTTCAAGTGATAATGTCTATTAAGAATTCTTAGCCAGGTGTTTGTTCCACATGTTTTTATAAGAGATTAAGCAAAGTGAAGTAAGTCTAAGACTAGAATTCTTTAAAAAAAAAAAATTAACTTTATAATTTCAGTCTCTGTATGACTGTGAAAAGTATTTTAGAGCTAGAGCAGTGGTTCTCAACTACCAGTGGTTTTGTTCCCCAGAAAATACCAGCAATGTCTGGAGAGATTTTGAGTTGTCATAATTGGTGGGATGCCACTAGCATTTGTAGAGGTCAAGGACAGTGTTAAATGTCCTACAATACACTGGGAAGACTACCCCTACCTTCAAAAAACTATTTGGCCCAAAATGTCAGTGCTGAAGTGGGAAAGCAGTAAAACTAGAGATAGACAGATATAAAACTTTTATTTCTTCAGGTTGTTTTAAGCTTTTACAGTAGTGTTGGAAACATCATTCTGTCTTTCAGAAATGATGTTTTTGCTTCTAGTGAACACTTGTCCCCAGATATTTTTCCCAAAAGTCATACTCAGTGGTAAAATTTGACTTGTAACATTTAACTATGCTATGGCTTATAAGAAATCTAGGAAAAAAAATAGGATCAACATTTTTATGGATAATTTAGTAACATTTTTGTATTTAGCTTATCTGATGAATTGACTGTTTTTTTTTTTTTAATAGGCTAAAGAAGAAAAGAAGAAAATCATCTTCCTCTTCAAGTGATTCTTCTGCTGATGAATCAGTTACTTCTTCCTCATCCTCTTCCTCTTCTGGTCACAAAAGGCATAAGAAACGTAAGAGGAACCGTTCAGAGTCTTCTCGCAGTTCCAAAAGGCATTCATCTAGGGCATCCTCAAGTCACATAGATCAGAATAGGAAAGATGAGTCCTACCCAGTTCCAACTAACACTTCAGCATCTTTTCTTAACCAAAAACAAGAAATGGAAAAACTGCTGGAAAAGCAGGATAGGTTACAATATCAAAAGACACAGGTGAAAGAAAAAGATAGATGCCCTCTCTCTTCATCTTCAGTTGAAATACCGGATGATTCTGGAGGTAGGTCTGAAGAGCCAAGAGATTTTTACAATAGCTATAAAACCCAGGCAGGTAGTAGTAGCAAAGCAGAAAAACCATATAAATCAGAAAGACATTTTTCCAATAGAAGAAATTATTCAGATTCCTTCTGTAGGAATTCAGAGGACAAAATAAAAATGTATGGTTACAGGAGATTTGAAAAGGACACAGAGGGAAGAAAAGAGTACGATAGAAGGTGGGGCCAGGTTCTATGAGGTATTCACTTCACCAGCAAGTTCAGACTACTCTTGGAAGTCAGTTGAAAAACACAAAAAGTGTACTTACTCTGGATCACGTGATTTCAGTAGACATGAGCAAAGATACAGATTAAATACAAATCAAGGAGAATGTGAAAGAGAGGATATTTCTGGGGAGGATAACAAAACAGAGGTTCCAGAAAAAGATAGACTAAATAGCAAAGAACAATCAGAAAGCAGAGTTAAAAAAAATTTGCCCCAAAATTTACTCAATATATTTAATCAGATAGCTGAATTTGAGAGAGAAAAAGGAAATAAGCCAAAAAATTAACAAACCAAGCACTGTTAATAAAAGTTTTAGGGTGTTTTATTAGTCCTAATATTCCAGTACAGAAATATTTGTAGAGGTTATAGAAAGCTTTTCAGGTCTCTGTCTCAACTTGAGTTTTAGGCTTTTCATGGGTATGTTCATGTACCATATATTTCTTACTCTGACAGTGTAAACTTCTTCACCTAAAGGTAAATCCTGAAAACATTGTTTCTTCATTATATTATGGTGTAAGAATTCCTAGGCCCACCTTATCTTTCTGTCTGAGAGAAAATTAAATTTGTGCATTGAACACTTGGATAATTTTCATCAAAAATAACTACTCTCTTTTCTGTTAAACATTAAAAGCCCTCAGATTTTGAAAAAGATTGTATGTTTGAATGTTTGTTGAGTACTATTTCATATCTATCACTTAAGTATCAACTTTTTGCAGTTTTATTTTAAAATGATAGGTTATGTTTTAATTTGTCTCTAAAGCCTGATTTAGCTTGTGAACAGTCATTGGCTTCAGCCCAACTTAACAAATACCTTAGGAATAAGACCATGAAGGTTGATTAAGAGCCTGCATTGCCATGGGAGGGGGCGGGGGCAGGGGGGAGAAATGAACCAAGCCTTGTATGCACATATGAATAATAAAAGAAAAATGAAAAAAAACAAACAAATAAACAAAAAAACAAACAAACAAAAAAAAAGAGCCTGCATTGCTTATTTTTATTTTGACTTACTCCCAGTATTTTGACTGTAATAAATTTCTAAACTTTAAATATTGGCAAGACCCTTAGGGAAAGTAGATCAGAATAGAAAATAATACTTATAGCAAAAAAAGAGAGAGAAAAATCTGGTTTTCTTCTGAGGAAAGAAAATTGGAAAACTGTCCTAGTGTTGCACAGGCTCAGGTGAGAAATCACTAGGGATGGCTTGCATTCTGTGTTTTCCTTACTACATCCTTTCCTTTACTGCCACCTTTCTCAGGATCTAAATAAATGACTAGATCAACCAGAGCCCGGTTTTACTCAGAATAAATTCTAGCAACTAAAGTTAAGGGACTCGGGCTTTAAAGATCTTCCTAAAATTACTAAAAGTGGTATATTATATTTGGGAGATTTTAACTGCCAAACACTTTTTGGGTTTTTGAGACAGGATCTTGCTGTGTAGCCCAGGCTGGGCTCGAACTCATGATCCTTCTACTTTAGCCTCCCAAGTGCTGAGATTCCAGCTTTTTGAGAGATACTGATTCAAGTCCTTGGTGCCGGAGTTAGGATGCTTTTAGAATCCTTGTAAGACTCTAGAAGGTATAAAAGGCAGTAGGCTCACATGATGACTGAGGATGTATTTTTGTGGGTGGGAAGATAGGTATCCACCTACAAAAGTCTTAAGAGAATGATACAGGAGGAAGACTCATTCCTGTTCTACATTGCAGTTCTTGCTACTGGTAAAATACCAGAGCTTTGATACTCTTACATATTACTTGCGTCCTTCAAATTGCAGTGATAAGGAGACTAACTGAAAATCTGTAACTTGTTTTGTAATGGAACAGTGAAAAGAAACCCTGGTTAAGAACAATAGATAATGGCAATAGAAATAGCCCCGTCACTCAAGCATGAGTTTTTGCACCAAGAAACTCTTTTATAAAGAGTCAGTTCTACAAAGAGTGAAAACTACCTCTTGGCATAGGCCTTGACATTAGGAATCCTACAACAGCTTAAGATTTTACACAAACCATTTTATTTAAAGCTAAGTAGTGCCTTATTTTGCAGGCTGCCTGAATTTGGAAATACCGTCTTTCCTAAGATGTAGTAAATTTAAGCAGAGTGTACAACTCAGTTTCTGAGGGTGTATTTAGGAAGCTCATCACAGCAAAAAAAAAAAAACTTAAGTTGTCAAGAATCCTGAGTGACATTGTCAGCAATTTTTGTCATCATTATTGTATCTTTAGTTCATACATACCCAGACTGGCTGTGTCTTGATTTCCATAAGTAGAATAGTAGCTTTTGGATGTTAAGAAATCCAGATTTAGAAATAGAGGGATTTGATCCTCTTTAGCATTTAGCATTATTATACTGAAGTTAGAATGATTTAGGGATTAGATATAATTTGTACTAGCCTAAGAAACTATCAAAATGATATGCCGGCTTTAGTAGTGATTTAATAGTAAGAAGTTACTAGTTTATAGTGCAATTACTGTGTGTCAAGCCCTGTGCATTTTGCTTATATTTTCCAGTTATTTCAATAAGTGCGAGGTAGGTAACTGTTAATCTATATTATAGTAAGAAAAAAAAGCCTAGTTATGCCAAAATCACTGAGTTTGGGAAGACACAACTCTGGCTTCATAGAGCACAGCTTAGTAATTTTCAAATTTTAGGTAATTTATAATTAAATACATTGCTGAAAATAAGAATTTGGGATCTTCAGTCACCAAATGATTACAGGATAATCACTTTTAAATCTTAATAATTTCATGTTTAGACAATGTTTAGTCAAAAATTACCAGCCTTTTTACCCATCTTAATCACTGAACTTCACTACTATGCCCTTTCCTGGCTAATTTAAAAACAAAGTAATCAAGAAAAAATGGATATATTACACTATGCTTTTCAGAAGGAACATCCCACTGGGAAATGTTTCTAAGACAGTCAGTTGTACTGATATTATTTCCAAGGTTTGATGAATGTTCATTTACACAAGGAATTCTAAAACAGTGTATTGGAAATCCAGTTTCATAACAGTTCATTTTCCCAAATAAAGTTAAAGTGGCAGAACACAAAAGTATTAGCCAGAAAACTACGTTAAATCTAGTGGTCTACTCCAATGTAATTTATGGGATTCTAATTGGAAATCAATCACATCTTGCGTTTAAATTTCAAAAGATGCATGTTTATTTATGCTTCCTGTATTTTGAAAGCAAAATCTCTGATGTGTTTCATTTCTTTCAAAGAGTGGATTAATTCTTAGAATTTTGTTTTTTTTTTTTTTTTGATATACAGCATTTCCCGCTAATTATTTTCTTGAACTCCTTTACTTTTTTTCCCCCAAAAAGTTGAGAAAACGGGATCTAGGGTAAATGAGAATTTACTTTTCCTGTGGTTAAAAACTTGTCTGGTCATTTTGTATTTAAAACACTATTTCAGTAGGCTTCTTTAGGATTTACTGCTATTAGGATTGAAGTGTGTGTGTGTGTGTGTGTGTGTGTACTTGAGTTCAAAAGAGATAAAAATGTTTATTTGTTGCTCTTTTTATTTTTACCATTACTAGCACCAGTGCTAGTGCAGATGGCTAGAACTGTGACTGCTGGAAAGAATCAGGGAAGGTAAATTCTACTACTTTAATCGAAGTCTGAGAAGAGAAGTACTTGTGCTAGTACTCTAGCTGACCTAAAAAATAGCAAAAAAAAGAATTGTAAGTTTATGCAAAATTTATATTTAATACAGACCTGGCCATTATTGACAAAAGTAAATTCTTAATATATGATTAAAGCATATATTAGTATTAATAAAATTAAAAGTATGACTATGTAATCGATAATAATAAATGAATTTTAAGAATATCATATCTTCAGCAAATAGTTCAATATATTTCCATGTGAGGAAAATATTGTCAATATAGTCAATTTCTTAGTAGCATTAAAATTGGCAAGATGTCGGCACTGGTGCTTACACTATAATCCTAACTACTCGAGGCAGAGATGAAGATCGCAGTTTGAAGCAGCCTGGGCAAATAGTTTGTGAGACCTGTCTCAAAATCCCAACACAAAAGGGCTAGCAGAGTGGTCCAGGGGTAGAGCACTGCCTAACAAGTGTGAGGCCCTGAGTTCAAAACCCCAGTGCACCAAAAAAGTTTGCAAGACAGTAACAAAAGGAAGAACAAAAGGATTTTGGTACTTGCAAGAGTAATAAACATGGTAGTTTGTGTAATTTAAGCTGAGCAGTATGACAAGGATAAATGGTGTAGTCATTTGGAAAATAGCCATACAATTCTAAAATGATATGCTGGAAAAATGCATTTATAAAAATGCAAGGAAGGTTAAGTATAAGTAAACTACTTAATATGTTTATGTAAGTGCAGTTTTTTTATACTTTTATCTTTAGGCTTTTTCCTGAAATCTAAATGGTCCGATATAGCTGCTGACTATAAGAGATTGGAAATCCTAAAATCAGGATCATCATTAACAAATTTGGTCAGTAAGGCACAGTGTATCCCCACCATCAATAAAGGGTAAAAAAAAAAGCACAAAGAGTTTTGATTAAGTATCCCTAATGATGAAATCCTGGATGACATAAAACTGTAGAATGAAAAATTAGTTTCTTTTTTAGCAAAAAAAAAGCATCATAAAAATCAAATCCTGTTTTGAAAAATTTCAAAATACAGGCTGAGTCACAAAATCATCATCCACTTCTGTGTACATTCAAGTTTCCCTTTTATAGTTAAAAAGATTTTCCCCAACTTGGGGTCACCAAATGCTAGCTGAATCCTCAATTTACCCTGCTTTATCTTGCTAAAATAGCTGTCAGTCAGCAAGCTGTACTAATATAGAAATAGTGACAGCAGCAGAAGTCGGGATTCTGTACATACTGTTTCACATCTAGTCGGTGTTCCCTGACAGTGACGTAGCTGAGGGTGAGTGCCACTGCTGATCTAACGGCTGTAGTGATGTGTGGCTGAGTACGCTTAGGGTAGTGCTGCAACAGTTAAGATGTGTTACTAACCTTCCACTTACCTTGCTGATTGCAGTGAAGTCTGGGAAGGAGATCTAGAGCTCTGGTGACTGCCTTTTATATTAGCAGTAGGCAGTTCTAACCCATTCTGGAAGAATATGAACACCAATCATTAGTTGTTCTACATTTTCAAAAAAAAAATTGTTTCACTTTCTGATGAGTGTTAAAATTTATTTTCATGAAATGTTTCAGAAATGCTAAGGCTGAGAGTATAGCTCAGAGGCACAGCACATAGATCGCATGCACAAGGACCAAGGTTCAGTCTCCAGTACCAAATGTATATGTATCCAAAGTGCACATATACATAACATATATATGTATGCATTCCATACACATACACACACTTATTAGAGCATACCGTATTACCTGCTGAAAGTATGTCTGAAGGATGACACCAGCGAGCTCAGCATTTTCTAAGAACCAACTAACTTTCGTCAATGACTTGTGAAACTCTTATTTCGGATATATAAATGTCTTTTTCTTCTAGTGTTTTCATCTTTTGTGTGGTTTGAAAGACGAGTTTCTTTTATGAGTTTGCAACAACTGTTGTAAATCACAGTCATTATTATATAAACTTATTTTCCAAACTTAAGGATAAAGGAGGATTTGAGTCTATTTGAGACTTCAAAAAAATGTAAATATCACAGGTCAGTTTTTAAAAGATACCAA